GAGCAAAGGGGTTACGCGGTTGGGGAGCCAAGTAGGTAAAATCTTCTTGTTCTTGTTTTTCCAGTTGCGAAACCCTTCAGACAAGTTCATCTACGCCACGGTGAAGCAGAGCTCGGTAGACATTTATTTCCGGAGGCAGGTGGAGCTAAGCACCATGTACCGGCACATGGAGAAACACAATTACGAAAGTGCTGCCGAAGCCATCCAGGCTGTTCGGGACAAGTAAGTGTTTCGTCTGCGGCGCTCCCGTCTCTCCCATGGCTTCTCCTCTTGGGATCCCTTTCCTGGAGTAAACGATGGGTTTAGCTGACTCTTCCAGCACAGTTGCCTTTACAATAGGGTAAGAGATTGCATTGAGAAGGGAAGCCTGTCCAGTCTCTCCCAGGCTCAAGGAAGCCGGCCAGGCGCCGATGCTCTCTGCAGCCAGTTTAAGCCCCTTGTTGCTTTGAGATGATCTGACCACAGTGGAGGCAGTGGGCTCAGCAGCTTCCCCACACAGAAATGAGCAAGCAGGCTCTTCTGATCAGTGGATACGGTGGGTGACTGACTGGGTTTCCTTCGTCGTGCCTCGTTGCTTCAACCTCTCCCACGATTACTTGATTGGCCTTCCTTCCATCTCCACCACAGCAAGCTCCACGCCTTCATCTGGGACTCGGCTGTACTAGAATTCGAAGCCTCGCAGAAGTGTGACCTGGTGACTACGGGGGAGCTTTTCTTCCGGTCGGGCTTCGGCATTGGGATGCGCAAGGACAGTCCCTGGAAGCAGAACGTCTCCCTGGCCATCCTCAAGTCCGTACTCTGTCCGGTGGGATGGGGGGGGCAGGGAGAGGGGAGAGCGGAGGGCTTTGGGAAAAGGGGGGCAGGTGGGATCAAAGGCCAGTATGCTTCTTAGAGCGCGACAATAGAAAGACAGCATGCCTCTCAAAACGCTAGGCTTCAAAGATAATTTGTCAGGAGTTGACAAATCCCTGTGTCAGAGCCCCAAGCACACCGACACTCTGTGCTATTCACTAAGGGTACTAACTTAAGACAGGTGCAAACATCCGGGTGATGGTTAGACGGGAGCAGGCAGTCGCGTCTCTGTAGTTCTTTGCTTTACTCACTGCCCTCCACCCCTGCCTCATTCCAGCCCGCTTCTCTTGACTATGGGGCCAGTGGCTGGATAAGTCAATCCATCCCGATATAAAAAACACAGAAGAATGATCAATAATCCTATGAAACACTTGTGGGGGCGTGGGGGAGGAGAAATCCTTTCTGAGAGGTAAGAGAGAAGATCTCTCCTCATCGGAAAGCTTAGCTCAGGTTGTACCGGGGCCGAGAAGGAAGCCCCACCGTTCTCCTCTCCGTGCAGCGGGAGTGGTTTCCTTCCCCAGCGAATCATCCGCGCCCCCTCCTTCTGCTTCCAGCCTCCACGAGAATGGCTTCATGGAAGAACTTGACAAGACTTGGGTGAGATATCAGGAGTGTGATTCCCGCAGCAATGCTCCAGCAACACTCACCTTCGAAAACATGGCAGGTAAGGTGGCTGCTTCCTACCTGCTTCGCGCTCCCCTATTTTTTTTTCTTTGGACACCCCCCCCTCAACCTTTTCAAAAAAAGCTCTCCTCCATTTCTTCCAATTCAGCATGTGTTTGACTTTAGTGATGCGTCAGCTGTTATCACCGAAGTCCCTAGGGTTGTAGTTGAATTAACCTTTTCCTGGATCAGCATAACGGATTGAAAAGCTAATCAGTTGGAAGTGGATTTGCGCAACTGAAGGCCTATCAGTTCAAAAGCTGAGCAGTCTTAGCCAGGGTGTGACTCTACCCACAAGGTTTTCAACTGGCAGGGTGATATGTACACAATGGGAATGGGAGTAAGGCAGAACCCCGGGGCTGCACCCAAAGACCCCCTGGGGAAACTGGGCTGAGTTTGGTCCCTGGGGGAAGGGGAGTGAGCCTGCGCTTCCCTCAAGTCGTCCTTGGGATCCAAGAGCCAGACTCAGACATCAGGCTGGACGTGCCGGCGGTCATGCCTAAAAAGCAATACGGAGGGTTCCCTCTGGCTGAGGTCCACGGCCACGAGGGGAGAATGCTCAGCTACCTAGGTTGCCTCGGCAGCTCTTGGCAGCCTGGAAGCTGGAGCCACTGCGAGCGCCAAGCGGCTGCTCTGATATCCCTAGTTGAGCCACGGAACCATAGGATAAAACCCGGCTTTGCTCGAAGGCTGCTAATTATGGAGCAAACGGCTTAGAACGCACTTTATTGTCACTTTAAATGTATACTAATCGGTATACATTAAAATGAAATTTAGTTTATATACAGCTCTCAAAGGGTCACCCCCTCCAATATGCATGACATAAACACAACAGAAATAAATAAAAATGCGTATGCCCGCCTCTACGCCCACGAGGAGATGGGTGTGCTCAAATGGCTCACCAAGAATGGAAAAACCCAACCCCCTTTTTGGCCTGGGAGGTGTGTCCCCTCCTATCCCCCTGCCACTCATCCAAGCAGTCCACCTCGAAGCAATGGCAGGGGTCCTCACCTGGCACTACCAAAACACCAGACCTCTCCACTGGGAAGCCTCCAACAAAGTGGTTGGCTTCTGTGTCCGAGAGGGGTGTTTCCAAAGGGCTGAAGCCTTGAGGAACGGGAGCCGGAGAAGGCCCCGCAGTCTCCGTCCAGATGTCTCCTTTGGGTTAACCTTCCTGCTTGTTTCAGGTGTCTTCATGCTGGTGGCTGGAGGTATTGTGGCCGGGATATTTTTAATATTCATAGAAATAGCATACAAAAGGCATAAAGACGCCCGGAGGAAACAGATGCAACTGGCGTTCGCGGCAGTTAATGTGTGGCGGAAAAACCTGCAGGTAGGACAGACCGTTTTTAGAGCGACACCTCCAAAACAGGTGCGGTTTTTTTTTGTTTCCCATTACTTCACCCAATCAGTGACTACCGTGCTACGTGGGGTGCCCAGCGGCCTCCCTTCCTGCTCGCCACTGGCAGAGGCAGCAGTGCCACAGGGGTGGAGGGAGGAAGGGGGGTGGGTGTTACACACACGCCCCAAGCCCCGTCTACTACTTTCTGGGGAGTGAAGCCCTCTGCATATCCAGAAATTGAACAGGTTGGGGCCCTCAGCCAGCCTCCTCTTCCCTGGCTGTGGCCCAGCAGGGCCCTTCTCCCTCTCCCCGTTTCTGTCCCGACCCATTCAGGAGTCCAACGCTGGGGGAAAATGGTGGCACCCTAAGGCTGCGATGAGGGGAGGCCTTAGGCGATCCAGTGCACGGCTGTGCTTCCAATTACGCAGCTGAAGATGACAGTCACGCCACCGATGGCCCTAGTTCCTTTAGCATCCCTCCTTTGTCAGAAGAGGAGAGTAGAAGGGCAACTTTTCAAACGAGCACAAACCTGCACGCTCTTTCTCACCCTTTCACATTCCAGCAAATTGGGTCAAGGTCAGGGGGCTCGTGTTACTGGCCATTTCTCTCCAACTTCCCCCGCGGGGTCTGTACGGGACTTAAGCCAGAATCTTAAGCCAGACCTCGCTCGCCCTCCTCTTCGTATCAATGCCACCCACGAAACCAAACCAGGTTTTGGCTGTCAAATGAGAATGCCCTGTTGCTGAGCGAGCGAGGACATCTGCAGCTGCCTTCAGTGTCCCAGACGGAGGCCGCTGGCTTTTGAGGCACCGTTTCTTAAAACGGCGTGCCCGCAGGTTGCCCTCTCTCATCTTACGGATGAGCACGAGAGAAGCGGTTTCAGAGTAACACCCACCCCCCTTATTTTTTGCAAGGCAGCCTAAAAGAAGCCCCTTGTAACAGAGAAGGGAAAGCGAAGAGAGTTCTGGCAGTCCATCTCCGCCTGGTGCTCCTCCAGCACGTTTGAGGCTGTGGGTTTGGGAGCGGGGAGGATACCAGGAGAAGGCAAGCCAGCCGACGGGGAGCCGCCCGGTCACACAACCATCAATGATCCGATGAACCTCCCTCGATTACCTGCCCTGCCCAGCCCCACAGCCATGCAGGACGGGTGCATCCAGAACAAGAGCACATTAGTCACTGACATTTTTCACTTGCCAACTTTCTAGAAAAAGTCCTGCCCTGGGCCACGGGAGGGGTAGGGTGGGGAAAGACTTCCGTGGGGCGGTCAATCAAGCATGCCACCCCAGGGCGGATAAATAAACAGAGAACGATGCTAAGAGATCCGTTTGACAATGTAAGACTTTTTCACAGGAGGATTCCTCAGACCACTAGTATCTGGTACATTGCTAGAAGGTAGGCAAGTGGAAAGATTTCTTTCTTCAAGAAAATAAAAAAAAAATTTTTTTTACAAAAAAAGCAAATATATATATATATATCTATAACTTTTTTTTGGTTTGGTTTTATTTTGCTACCTGGGGAAAAAAAAACAAAATCACAGTTTTGCCCATGGCTATTTTTGGCAAGGCCATGGGAAGGCGCAAAAAAAAAAAAAAAAAAGAAAAGAAAACCCAAAACCCAAAACCCCTCCCCCGCTCCCCCTCCCGCCCTCTTGCTAGCTTTTCTTTTTTTTTTTCTGTGCATGCGCGTCGGAGTCATGGAGAATAACTGGAAAGGAGGAGGAAATGTATCCCCCCGCGCATGCTTCATGCACCAGTGGGATACATTTTTGGTCACCCCCCCCACATCGTGGGCTGGTAGAACCACACCTGGTTTCACCTTTTCCTCTCCCAAAGGGGTTAAAGAGAAAAAGAATGGGAAGATTTCGGATCGGCTGGGTTCCCCCACTCACCTTGTCCCGCAAGAAAAGCAGGTACCCTACGGTGCTGACCAGGTTTGACTGCCTACCACCCAACCGCTGTCTTTTTTTCCTCCCTCTTCATTCTGTTTCTTTTTGAGTTCCCGGCATCCTTAAAGTATCATTCAGAATATGTAATGCTTTGCTTATTCCCCCTTTTTTTTCTCCTTGTTTTAAGTTTTGATTTCAAGAGATTTGGGTTGTTTTTTGTTTTTGTTTTTGTTTTTAATTTTTATTTGTTCTTTGTTCTTTTATGTTGGAAAAACAAGTTCGAGTTTTACGCCAAGCATCGCTGAAATTTTCGGAATACTTTTTTTTAACATACAATGACCTTCTCTTCCAATGCAGTCCTCTCTCTCTCTTGTGGCCGTAGGATTCACCTTCAGAAAAGGCCCCGAGCATTTTTATTTAGTGGTAGGTGAAAAGTGTCTCACCTCTCTCTCTAGTTAGGACAGCCGTGACAGGAAGGAAGGAAGGAAGGAAGGAAGGAAGGAAGGGTGTGAGATGTTCCCCTAGGGACCCCGGACGCCGTGTCTGTCTCTCTCCTGGGGTGGCCAGTGGAGCAGACGAGGCATCTGGAGTGCATCAAATGCAGTGGAAAGCCAGCTGCTGGCTCTGCCCCACCCACGCACCCCCCAATGCCCTCCTTAAGGGGATCCCTTCCACATCTCAACCTAGTTCCGAAGGAGACCTTCAGACCGATCGGCCCTCGCGTAGCTCCCGAGCCAAGGGTCAGGGCCTCGTGTGTGTCTGGGACCGAGAGCCATCAGGAGATGGTAGTAGGCATTGTCTTGGCCCTAGAAGACAGACCAGAGACGTATCCAGGATCGTGACATGGGGCTGTGTTCATCTAGGTGTAGAGATCCAAGCCGCCCAATGGAGATCTAATCGCTTATATATACATATTCATTTTAGGATAGAAAAAGTGGTAGAGCAGAACCAGACCCTAAAAAGAAAGCCACTTTTAGGTCCATCACCTCTACCCTGGCCTCCAGCTTCAAGAGACGTAGGTCATCCAAAGACACGGTAAGAGGAAGAAAAACAATTGTGCCCTCTTTCTTTTTCTCACTCACTCTTTTTCTCTCTCTCTCTCTCTCTTTCTTCTTCTTCTACCATCCCATCAACTACCACACACCCATCCCAAAGCTGCCCGTGTGACCTACCATAGCCTCATGTCCGTCAAGAGTCAGTCGGTCCAGTCGGTCAGTCAGTCAGTCAGTCAGTCAGTCAGTGAGTCCAGTCCCCGTGTCCCTTGGCAAGTTTCAAAGCCAAAAAGAGGGCAAAGGAGGTTGACGAATGCTTTGTAGTCTTCTGTGAAGAGTTTGGAGATAACTGCAATGAGTTTCTTGTTCTAGTTTACTTCTTTCTTTCTTTTTGGATTCTTTTCTTTCGTTCTGTTTAGAATTGTGGTTTAAGTTTTGCTCACTTTACTGATACCAACACAAATCAGCTCCCCCCACCCCCCCATCCCCCCCACTGTTTTCTGAGTGTCCCTGTTTGTACCTATATGCTTAAAAATGGTCCTCGACCCCTCCTGCACTCACAGCCCCCCCCACCCCTCCCTCTCAATTCTTCCCTTCTAAATCTGGACAATGTCTCACCTCACACCGAGCCACCTGTTCATTGTATTCTTTACTTGTAACTTCTGTTTGTGTTTTTCAAAAGAAAGAGGACATTTTTTTTTATAAAAAAAAAAAAAGAAAAATATTGTTTTACTTTACTTTTTTTGTGTGTGAATAAGCGGCAAGTTTCTGCTTGTAACACTTCGGACTGAGCTGTGCAGGCTGGCAATCAATAATTCTTTGGAATGTAGAGCTCTAGAAAGCAAACGTTGTTGCTGTGTGTTGGTGTGTATCTGACCCCCAAAACCTTAGCAATCCAAGCCCAGTGAGAGAGAGAAAAAAAATGCTCCTCTGTTTTAAACCCAAACACCCCTGGCCAAAGGAGAAGCTCATGGAAACACTTGCTCTCAGCTTTCTGCTTTTCAACACGCCCCCTCGGCGGGCTGCATGTAAAAGTGGAACAAGGGAGGGCATTTCCCATCTGCATGAGCTGGTCTGCATGTTGAAATGTTTGGGAAGGAGGCCCCGGAATTTCTCTTTTCTGCTCTGCAGCACACCCGCCAGGAATTGGCTCACAAAACTATTTTTTTCTTGCAGTGAGCTTAAATAAAACTTTAAAATATTTATTTTTACGGAAACGTTTTTTTTTTCCTTTTGAGGGAGGGTATCGTTCATAAAGAGGGTTTTTACTACAGGAAGCTACCAAGGAAGGCGGGGAGTTTCTCCCCATCCCTCCACCCAGAGTAAGGCAGGAGAAGTGAGAAAGTTTTCCCAAAACACTGGGCAGGTTTGCGGCTGTGCTCAGCCGTGGAACACAAAAACTTGGACCTGTAGAAGAAGAAAAACAAACAACAACAACAAAAAACTCAAAACCTGCAAAGGAGGAAGGACATTCAGATCCCAAAATTTCCTCTGTCCAATGCACCTCGAAGGAAAGCTCTGAAGAAACCGCTTCCTTCCGTGGGTGCCACCTGTCCTTTGCTAAGCACAGCGTAGGGCCAGGGGACTGCCGGTCCTTCCCCAAGATACTGGTCCAGTTTTGTACGAGGGAGACGTTCAGCCCCCCAACCCTGTCCCTCAGAGCAGCCCCTAAGCTGGGGCTACTTTAAAATGCCTCCTCCTTCCACAGGCCCTCGGGCAGCCTTTGGGGCAGGGTCAGAGGCTGGAGGTCTCCTCCCGATGGATAGGTATGTCCCAAGAAAGAAGCCCAAACGGTGTCCCGGACAAGGTATAGCAAAGCCAGCTAAAACAACAGCCTGCCTGGGAGTCGAGCCACCCCAGTCACTGTCCCTGAAGCTTTTGGGGGGGGGGGTTGAGTCACTAGGCTGAACCCTGTACTGGTGCACAAGATACACGTTGCCCTCTTGCAAGCAGTCCTAAGGGGGACAGAAAAGGGAAGGCGCCCACTGGCTTAGCAGGGCGGCCTCCCTATCGCACACAGCCCCCTTCCTATCAGGACCTTAGGAAATCTTTAAGGCAGTGACTCTGCCTGAACAACGTCCATCAAACCCCTGACCCCACAAGGGGACCCAAGGCAGAGATTCCTCCCCGTGACCCACTCTTGTGGGGGACGGGATATGGCCCAGCAGAGCCACCTGGTGCTCCCTTTCTGGCCCCAGGCATCTCTGGGGGAAGGCCCAGCTCCCTTCTCTCTCGAGGGAAGGGCAATTGGCCCTGCCATGGTGGGGCAGGGAGTGGAGCGGCCAGGCAGCGGCTTCCCTCCCTCGGTGCCGCCAAGGCTGGCCATGTGGAGGGCGCAGCAGCAGCAGCTTGGCCTGAGGGTGAAGCCCCACACCCAGATTACAGCTTCCAGCAGCTTCCTTTTTGGGGCCACGTAAGAGGACCCCTGCAGGGAAGGGCACCTGGCCAGAGGCAGAGAGCTCCTGAGTAAAACAGAGGGGTATACGGCGGCCCCCAGGGTGCCTCTCTTTTGAAGGGCGCTTGGCTAGCAGCGGGTGCTCTTGGGCGTTTGCACTCTCCAACTAGCCTCCTTGCACACCCTCTGCTGGCCTCTTGCAAATAGGGCCCGGAGGCGTTCCAGGGGCCCCAACTCCACTTCCTCGAAGCGCAGGACTGTGACTCCTGGCAGGCCTCCGGGGCTAGCCTTGTTTGCCAAGGGCCCCTCCAGGAAGGGAGCCTATCTGGGCCTTACCTTGCCCAAGCTGGCCACGCCTATTCCGCTCACGGCAAAGAAATAAATGCGGGGAAAACCTTACCCTTTGCAGCCGAGCCTTCCGGTTCAATTCCAGTCTATCCACGCCTCCCCAGTTTAAAATGGAGCCCAGCCTAGTGTGTGTGTTTTGTTTTTAAGGCAGGCTGAGCTGCGTCCAGTGCCAGCCTCCGGGTGAGACTGCCAGCAGCAAATTGTTGGTCCCAGTAAGCCCAGGGCAGGGCAGGGCAGGCACAAAACTTTTGTGGAAGAAATGGTCCCTCCTCTCCGGAGTCCCAACGACAGCAACTCTGCCATCCGAGGATCCATCCTTGGAGACCTGGTTTTGTCTCACGGGGTCAAAGAGCATTTCCAATTCTAGGCTTCCCTAGAGGGAATGGGTTGGAAGCGGACTCAAAGAAGGAAGAACTGATAGCTGTTGGTTACGCCTGTAAAATCCCTTTCCCATCCTACTAGAACGCAGGATCAGTGGATCACACCGATCCATGTGGCAGTTCTGGGCTTGGGGGGGGGGGGGGAAACATCACAAAATTAGCGGGTAGCTTTCCCAGCCCTGATGTCCCATGGCCATCTCTAGTTCAGGCAGCTTTCATCCCAAGGGCCCAGGGAGGCCACAAAGCAGGGCCCTCCCAAGGGGCGATTAGGCCGAGGACATCGACTCCGCCAGGATTTCTGCAATGCTCACAAATCCCCCAAGGTTTCTGTCCGGCCATGATAGGAAACCGGAGGCCGGGCTGGATTTAATCCAGTGAGCCTTCAGGGCTTTTGTTAGGGACCAAAATCAGCATCAAGCAGGAAGCGGCCTCTGTGTCAAGGCACAGGCACAGCAGCTAGCTGAGTGGGCAGATCCGTGGCTGCATTTGGAGGCCACGGCAGGTCAGGCAGGTGAAAAACCCTTAGAGTCCAAGTCTCGAGTGAAGAAGAGAGACAGGTTGACAGGCGATGAGGGGAAGGGTTGTTCTCAATGGGTTGCTCAGTCTTCTCGAAGGGCAAATGCTGCAGGTTTGTTGGGCGGGCAAAGTGGCATTCTGTGGGGCACCGTGGTGAGGGTCGATGCTCTTTGCACAGCTGGATTTTGCCTTTAACTCTGGAACTGCAGCCAATGCCTCTGTAATAGACAATGTGCCATTCATGCGCCTGCTCCCTACAGACAGCCCCGCGATGTCACCACGCCCAGCATCCGTGAGCTGCAGTGCAGATAGCCCTGTAGAGACTCCCGGCTTCAGGAGCTGCTCAGCACAGGGTGGGCTCTCGTCCTGAATGTTGATTGACTTTTGTCCTGTACCCACGTCCTGTATTACGGGGGTCTGTAATGGGCAAGGAGCGTGAGGGCCCAGGCAGGGGCGAACGGCAGGCCCTAGAGACCCCGGGTGGAGGGCGCCAGGAGGATGCGGGGGGCAGGAGGGGAAGTGGCCGGGGTTGGGGGAGGTTGGTATGAGCATTCTCTGAAATGTTCCACCTACAAGGAAGAGACGTTGACTGGCCGGACGTTGGTGGAACGCCAGGGCTGTCACGGCTGAAACGTGCCAGGAGGGGAATTAGTTGCTCTCCAGGCAGTTGAACCAGAGGGCCGCAGAGGCTGTCATGTAACACGTCCACCCACCCCACCACCCTGTCCCAAGCGGGGAATCCCTGAGAGATGATGCAGGTCTCTGCTGTCCCGGCAGGCAGGCGGAGGAGGCAGGAGGGGAGAGCAGCGGTCCAGCTTGGGGGCACCAACAATTGCAGCACTGCCACCAGGCAAGGAGGGGGCAAAGGAGGCCACGGTTTCCCACCGGGCATTCCCTTTGAATTCCGCTCATGTGTGCCAATCATTGGGTTTTTTTAAAAAAAGAGGTGTTCACAGCAGCCCTTTAAAAAAAAATATCTGGGGCAATTTGAAGTTATTTTTGCTACGAACTATTGCCAGTAGCTTTGAACTCTCTAATGAATGTCCTAGTAATAAATTGAGGGGATCTGCTTTTGTTCCCCAAAAGAGGGGAGGCCCTCCCTCTTCCAGCAGGGACAGCAGAGACCCTTCCGGAGGCCTTGTCTCTACACCCCCACCCCTTAGCAATTACCTCCCCAATTTATTACAAACCAAGCTAATTTGAGTTGCGTCCTTCTTCACTCCCTGGCCACTGAAGCCATGTCCCAGGGTGCTAAAACTAAGTGGGAGAGTGCCACCGACTCCTGGTGGCTCTGGGGAAGAGACTTTGGGCCCGGCCCTGGCCAGGCTTCCCTCGTGGGCTGCATCCTGTGCAGGGGACCTTCCACTGGCACTCCGCGCGCGCAGGCTGTGGCCCGAAGCGAGGGGCAGAGAGGGCCCCGTGCATCATCCCTCAGCGATCTCCCACCGGGACCTGCGTCTCAGTTGCATCAGCTGCTCGCAGCCGACCCTGCCCTGCCTAACATCCGGCCTGTCTGTCTGTCTGTTTGTCTCTTGCAGCAGTATCACCCCACCGACATCGCTGGGCAACTCAACCTCTCTGACCCCTCGGTCAGCACCGTGGTCTGAGATCTCGGGATGGACCAATGGAGACTCCGAGGGCCCTTCTGGAGACACCAAAGGGAAGCCTTGGCTATCCACCCACGGCGTC